TCAAGTGTCAAAAAGGGCCCGGGCCGGATATGATACAGTGCGTTTGATGCCTCAAAAGTTTCTTCCTCCCCTAGGACTGGCTGCAATACAGTGCGTTGTCAAACTGTCTATGAGCTTGATAATCTGTCATCCTTTGCCATCCCACCAACTCACCTTGCAGCAAAGCATCGTTACAGCACAGCACCATTAGTGGTTGCATTGCTATGCTGCAAGACAAATGGACTTATCGTGGCAATGACGAGATAAGCACCAGTAGGATTCACATATCACGAAATGTCCATCTAGCCAATCCCTTTCACCTCTTGTCCTTTGCATATTATTACCTATCCGTTCACCTGCACGTCGTGCATCTCGATACTCCACCATCTGCTACTATGTGGTGCAGTTGCAATTCTGCTATAGCCTAGACAACACAGCAGAACTCGCCCACTCCGAGATCAAGTCAAATCTCGAGACATCGCCGAGGCCTGCAGGTCATTCTCAACCTGTATAGGATGGACAGTACGGCGGTAAGCCACATGCTGATGGTAACACAACCATGGCGGCATGGCCCTTTCAAAATGTCTCGAGGCTTGGAATGCTGCACCATAATCCTGCACGTGCGATGGTTTGACTTGCTTTGTACCCCGGTACCTGAGGTATCAGTTGTACGGTCCGAGCCATGTCACGCATTACAATGTCTGAGTGAGGAGTCTCGGGATTTTGACTGCCTTTACCAAAAGAAAGAAAAAAACGCATTAACTCGGCAGACGAGGAAAGTTGCCACAAAGAATATCAGATGTTTGTTTCGCTGCTCCGGCGGTAAAACTCCAAGATGGATCATCTTCAGCCATCTCACCACCCATCAAACTTAGAAATGGACGTTGACGAGCCATTGAACGCTTCACAACCCTTGCGCCATGGACATTGGCCTCACTGTTAGCAAGAGGACGAGTCCAGCGCCAGCTTCGCCGAAGCACTAACCCTTCAAGACCAGACCCGGACTCCACCTGAGAGCCTTGCAAGGGCTGGCTGGTTTAGTTAAGCCGTCGATCCCCTCAAACACCCCATCCGCTTGGCTGTCTCGTGTGCTCGTGATTGCCAGCGAACACGTCCAGGATCAGTGCAGGGACATCTCCATTCAGGGCATCACATCCAATAGATCAACGGTATTTGGCAGAATCTGGTTTATGCTGCTCACGGAAGATGCACGATATGACCCGCGAACTTGAGTTAGTGCGGCAAATCGTTCACCACTTTTTCAGTTCCCCTTCAAACTCGTGGTTCGTTGTTTATTTGCGGATAGCTGATGCGGTTAATCGCGACCAAGATCATCCATCACTGTCCATTGATTTCCAGATATGTTGCTTCAACATGCAATGTTTGTTTAGCTGGGCTGATGAATTCACTATGATGGGGATAATAATGTATTACTGGGGTTAGGTACATCTCCATTGATGTCGATATTTTGCTCATTAGGCTTTCAATAGTTGTTGATGCATACCATACGGGCTTCCTGAACTGGCCAGGCTACCCCAGGCCTGCATTGGCGAAGGCATAACATCACATCGCTGAAAGCAGAGAATCGTCAATTTTCGATTCAGAGATTAATTGCATTGATCGGAAACAAGATCAAAAGCCCTGGTTCTTATTTAGTGTCTTGACTAGTAGATTCTGCACGACAAGTATGTAAAGCATCAGGGCAAGAGATAAGTCCACTTCAGGCTATCAGCGATCTTGATCTAGCCTGGACATCTCCCGCGTTAGGCGTGCATAGATATATCGATCATAGAGAAGACAAGGAACTGCCGGCGATACAAGTGTATCAGGGCAATGCACAGCCTGATGTTGTGTCTTCCAAGCCACGCAAAGACGCTGGCCAGCCTCTCCGGAGTAATGAAGCAAAGACCATCTGGTGTCTGTGTGTAATGTTTCTCAAGCTTAGCCGTAGCACGAGGCTTCAAGACATGGCGCACTGTCTTCTCTGCGACCTGCGGCCAGACCGCACCGCACGTTCATGCTGGGAGGTGGGCAGTGATGTCAGAAGCTCCCTCGAGAGAGCGGGATGAGACAATATCTAACACTAAACGCACTGAACATTCTAATCTCATGAACTTGAGGGAATGTAAGCTGACATGCTCCGTATCAATCTCTGGCTTCCCCCTGATACAGCTTCCTTAGCTGGTTCTTGATGTGTTGACCGCATCTGATGCTACAACCAGGGTTCTCGTCAACATCCTGGCTATTCTCCGTGTGCACGTCTCATATGGTGGTCACGCCCCCTTTGGTATCTCTCTATACTGAGTCTAGTCCCAGATGGATCTGCGGCCTTAATCACGGAGAATCGATGATGCGTGGTGTAGCGACGGCGTCTCTGATAATTCATGCGGATTAACTAGTTTTGTTGCTCAACAGAATAGCACGAGTCAGGGCGTTTGAGAACAAAGCGCGCGCCAACACTGAATCGGCTCATCCAATGATCAAGGTTCACATTGATTACAGACTCTGTAGGGCCGAACAGGTTATCAAGGCAAATGGCATGTTGTTCACGATAGGCCTAGCCAATGCAAAGGGTTAATAACAGATGTAGCCATTATTGGTAGTTGTCCGTAGTAGCCGCATCGTATCTCCCGGTAGTTCCACAGTCGATGGACTCAATGCACCGGCTATTGGCAACTCTGTTGCCATCAGACCATTTTTGACGCAGGGGTAGATTTTGAGGCTCATCAGAGCAGGGAACAATCTTCGGCGGTGAAGATTTGACCAAACACTGAGGAAGAAACCACTCCATTCCTCGATCCGGATTCTAATTAAGGAGGCTTCAATCAATACTGCCGCTTATCGTATCGCCTCTTTCTCTTTTTACCCTTCATCTGGCTGGCCGATAATATGGAGATCGGCCTCCGATACTCCGCTTCGCCTCCACAACATCTCCGAGACGATCACTCCCCGCCATGGGCCGTGGGGACGCAAGGAACGCGGAATTCCTAATTAATCCCTCCTCTGTAACATCTGGTCTCATCTTCGTGGCCCATAGACCATCATGCGTGCGCACTATCAAAATGCCGTGGCCACGTCGATCTCACGTCGTATAGTTGGTTACGAGGGGCCGAGTTTGTGTTCACCTGCGCCGGCTAAGGATCAATCCGGTTCAGTCTGTATTAGTGGCCATAAGCTGGTCACGCAGCTGTGAGAAATGAGACCAAGAAGATAAACTACCACTGTCCTTCATTCCTGAGGCTAACAACCGAGGTTTATGCCAAGTATCTCACATCATGGTGGTGGTTTCTCGCACGTAGAACGTCAAGTTCGTCCTTAGTCTTCAACCGTTGTACGAGAAACAGTGAGTAGTATCACTCGTACTACTTGATCAATGCTATATCGTCAGATTCTGCAGTTACACTCAAGATCACCAGTTGTTGTGCAAGTGTAGCCGTTGATCACCTCAACTGTTAATTGACAACTCACAACTGCTCCACCTCAAGATAGAATATCTCCTCACTACACTATCAACATCTTCATCGTGGTGTTACAATCTGCATATTCTCGGCTTTCAGTCATTAAGTTGAACCATATTCTGCAGGTAAACCCAAGGCACCCTGGCTTCTGTTTCCATCGTCTTTGGGCAGCTCTGCAGCTGTTCACCTAGAATGATAGGCTGGGCCCCATACATGCATGTATATGATGTAGAGCCAGATGATGTAGCTAATAATGGTTCTTAGGGGGCATATGCATGTATGTGTTGTTACATGCATCTTGGTCTGGAACCTTCCAATCGCTTTGTGTTTGGCAGAGCAGTTTGATCAAGAGTTCGAAGTCGTCGAAAGACTGTGACTCATATTTGGCTTGTATCAAGTTGATGTATCCCCTCCGAGAACAACATCAACTACATGACTTTAAGTGGCTTGGCTCTCATGGTATGAGGCGCAGCCATGAAATTGTTAGGAAATACGCTGGTGGAAACATGTCGAGGAATATCGGCTCTATGCATTAGTCGTCCGAGGCTCACTACGGCCGGAGCAGAAGCCATTGACTTCAAGTTTACATCATTGTTCCATCTAAGTAACAGAATACGTCGACAAAGGACAATTGGTTTCGTTGCCAAGTTTCACAGTGTTTGTAATATGTCACCCAAAACATACTAGAGCTGTGTCACTGTGATGCTTGCTAGTCTTCTAAGAGGGAATCCAGTTATAGAAGTCGTAGTTTCTATATAAGTTCCTTGACAAAAAATATTACCCGGAACCACATCGTATCGCAGCCTATTTGGTAGCATAGACTTCGCAACTAGAGAATGCATCAGATCTATGATATGTCCAATATACTTTTACATAGTACTACATTGGTGTTAGCAACTATCATTGAATGTTGGAAGAGGAAAGTAATCTCATCATTGAGTCGTACAGTCATGTATCTTGAAGGGGCCGCAATCGTGAAACGGTCCAATTCAGCACTCTGTCGGACGAGAGACTTGTTTCCTCGAGCGATAAAGGCTTGAGGTTGCAACTAATCGTAACATACCTCTCTATTGTGTTGCTTCACCGCAGATCCTCCTGTACCGCAGATTCAAGCTAGATGATAGGTGAGAATATACTCAGTGGTCATATGGAATATCCCTACGCTTAGTGGTCTTCCTTTTCTTGATATATATTTCCTTCCAAGAGTGGAACAGAAACGTACAAGTGCTGAATGGTTCATATTGTCTTCTACGCTATCAAAGAGTCTTGTTCTCTGCCTGGAAGCTTTACACAAATAAAATATCAGTATTAAAGTTGTTACATCAAGATTGGGTCTATGGTCACTGACGAAATATTCGAAATAAAGATTGGAAATCACGAAATAATTCATTTACCATTAACAGCGACTATGGGGTATATAAACGCAGCCGGATAGAAACAACAAACCTACTGGCTGATCGTGAATAGCAGTGAGACTTTTGAGAACCATCAGCGTGAAAGACCGACAACTGATTGACATGAGGATATGAGAGACATGTTAGAAGAGGAAGAAATACTAGCCCTACAAGGCCTTGAGGATTCTGCAAGCATCAGCCAGGACAGATCAAGAAATGTGTTGACAAATCTCAAAGTGGATGCTCTGTGCTTACTTGGAACTCTTATTGCCCCAAGATTCGGCGCACGCCATAGCATTGATGTGCATGTTCAGCGAATCCTTCTGTGGACCATAGACGAGTCAACAGCGCAAGAAGGGGTCGATAAGGCCCAACATCCACAGGAACAAGCTCGGAAAGCGTACTCTGGGGGAGCTCGCCTTGCATGTAGTGGCTATAAGTGACAAGACATCCCTGGCACAGGATGCCTTTATCAGCGCCAGCTTCTGAGAGGGATGGGAAACGAATGGAGGCCATTCCGCCAAAGTCATCCTCTACAACCTCGGCCTTTCTTGGTAGTCTTGAGAGGTCACAGCCTGGAGGATCCAAAGACGCTTCATGGAAGTGCCTGAATATGGCAGCATCTTTCATGGACGTTCTCCCAGGACGATATGTCGGCCTCAGTCTGGCCAGCTTCTCAGCAGAGCCATATATTTCTAGGGCAAGCTCCTTTGCTTGCTTGACACTGACAAGACGTTCAGCCTGCTTATGCGCGAATTGGAACCTCAGACCAAAGATGCCAGGAACGCTATGCATAACAGGAATGCGTTGGAGATCATGGTCGGTGAGACTGAAGCACTCCTTCGCCATAGCCGGAGACGTCATCCGGAGAGCCTGGTTCTCATACAAACACTCAAAACAAACCCTCTCACAGGTTGGCAGGAAGAGAAACCCTCCAAAAGCGAGACACGAGACACATCTGCTCTGCCGGAGGGCGGAATGAAGCAAGGTAGCAGGATGGTAGCTCAAAAGACGAGTCTGTCCCAAGACAACCAATGCCTCGGGAGCATGTTGGACCATCTCCCCATACACCGGCAGGTCCTCAATCACATCCTTTCCTAGAAGAGAAACCCGCGACAGGCGGGACAGAGACTGGAAGTCGAGGAGATCAAGGACAGACAATAGAAGCTCTGCGGGGAGACAATCCAATTGGCCCAGGGAAGAAGCCAGAAGCCGTGGCTGGTTGGAGATGGATGTAATGGATGGGAGCAATCGATTCCGGTTGGGTACGTGACGAATCATGCCCTTGAACTCTGATTCCTCGGTACGGATGAACTGTTGGGGGACGTTGCAGTGTGTAGCCATGGCGTGTTATTAAACAATATGTGTGAGAGAGTAGTTTTATACGACAAACTTTGAGATCTTTCCGCACAGTGACGCAGAGAAGAACAAAAATTATAGAAGGGCACTAGTAGACGAATGGACGACACTAAACTTATAGGTTAGAAGAAGAGAAGAGCGGTAAAATAGTTGCACGAGTGAGTGCTCTTAGACCTCTTGAGAAAGGCCGAGGTTACAGGCTATGTAGAGACTGACTCAGCAGAGTGAACCGCTTAGATTCCAGGATTTAACACAGAAAAAGCAAACTTGGAGTCTAGGGATATTGCTTGGACTGGACGGATACGCACAGCTGGTGGGTTTTCCCTGCATGGGCATCAATTAAGCGCGGGGTCTGATGTGGTGTTGGGGGCACTAAAATAAGTGAGGCTCTGATCTTGACGGAGTATAAATCCGAATTTCTGTAACCTCACAACTACCAAGCTGTTTAATACAGCTACCTAGCGCTATATACAATACTTTGATACTTTTTGCTTCCCTCATACTCAACACATCTCTTGATCATTCTTTCAATCTGACACCATGAGCTTTCTACTCCCAGGTTCTTGTCTCGGCTATGTACCATGGATGATATCGTGCATATGCCCCGGACCGGTTTGACAAGCCGGTCTTTGAGTTCCGGTCATGTCTCCACCGGGAAATGTCTAAGCTAAGCATGGGTGCATATTCGACCAAGATGCCATGCCACTACACCACAATATCTCGTGGTGTTTTGTTCCCGCGGAATTCCAGAGTTTTAAAAGACGGTATCAACGTATCAAATAGAAGAATTGAATCTGGTTCTTCTTGTAATGGATTCCGCGGCATACGTACTTCCTCGGATCGGCCCTTTGTTATGCCTGAGTGACATGACATTGGATCCAATGTTCGGCAAACCAACCGGCTTATACAGTTGGTCCTGCAGACCTACACAACAACGCATCCATATGCTGATATATGTTTACAGTACAGAATTACTAAACGAGGCGATGTTATCGACGGAGTGAAACAATGAGACTGCCTCAAGCCTGTTATTTGCTATCCATTTATCGAACAGATTCGAGAAGTCACAATACCATTATTCTGCAATTACTCATACCTATTCCTCGATACGGTTCTAGCTCTCACAATTCTATGTCTTTTCTAAACCGACTTCTAACCACCCACGTATATGGCAAAGATTTTGTATCAGACAACTCCATCGTTACATCAAAATGTCAATCATATCTCCCTCAATTCATTGATCGATCTTCATTAGCGCCCCCACCAACCAAAGACAATAAGTTGGGGGTTGGCTCGGTTCGGACCATGCTTCGGTCGAGAACTCGGATTTTCGAAGGATATTGCTCGCTCGACTCATTCAACTTCCGCGAGTAGCGTCGGACTTTCTTTTTCGTATGTCTCTCAATATTTGTGATCTGCATCATCCCGTCTTTGTCTCACCTTGTTGGGATATTTAATTCAGTGAAGTTCTCGTAAATGTGCAAATGATCACGTCCTGCTGCAATAGCTACAGTAGTGTGAAACTGAGCCGTCTAAAACCGAAGACTCTTGCACGACTAGTCAACTAGCGCAACACTTTTTTGTGTTCAATGTATTGATATCAATTCTCTGAGACTTATAGGCCGAGTTAATCGGATACTTACCTCCGCCTTGACGTGCAAGTTACATTGCCCTAGCGTCGGTACTTGAGAACCATGCTTCATGCATTACTTCTAGAAAACCTGCTAACAAGAATTTTCTGGTGCTGCTTCGGATCGATACATGTGGCGTGCAATGGTTTGATGGTGGCCGAGGACAGGCTTTTGATGTTCTAGAAACTGCTGTTGGTGCTCCGTCTTGCAGGTTCAAATACGTTTATTCCATGTTAAAGGCGTTTTGAGTTTGAGTATCTCATGTTGTATCTGGTCACCTCGGCTTATACCCGAGGTCTTTCTTTCACTACCTACACAACACCAAGAACCGGAGGGTCTTACAGGTTTGGCATCGATGACGAGCATTATATATGTGGTATTAAGATAATTTGCAATATTTCCTTTTATATCCCCTCATAACGAATATTCTCCATGATTACGCCCGCATTCGAAAGATTCTGTTCTATGGCATGTGGATAATCTTGCCTTAGCTTCGCTTGCAGATGGCATATATCATCCACGAGCCTCTCAGCAGATGTTAGTGTTTTTATATTTTAATTGCTTTAGCTGCTGATACAATTCAGGAATTGAGGCTTGACAGTGAGCCTCTAGTTCTTGACTAAATCTTATCACCTATAATATGTCTGGATCCTTGAAGATGGCTGAATATCGCCAAGCTACTCACAGTCAAGTCAGGACAAGAAGTAACATAAAGGCTTGAACGTTCACCTACGGATTATCACTTGAAATTTTAAGTTTATAAGCATTCTGGTTTATTCAGTGCCTTATTGCCGACAAGCAAGGTGGAGGTAACTGTGTCTTCAACTTCTCATCCAATGAGAGATCTGAATACACCCGATAACTTGAATAAAACTATACTTCCCCTGGCCTAGGTTTTTAGAAAAAATAGTCATATATCTATATGTATCGCGAGAGAGACTCATCTACTGCAGGTAAGTGACAAAAACGATGTCAAAAACCGTCTGCAACTCACCACTGAAACTTATCTATGATGTAGCAAAGTTTATTATCGGCACATCGGGAAGCGATCGAAGAATAGTATTTGGTCCTCCATAAGAGCCTCTGAGACTTTGTCTTGTTGAATTGTGGAATTAATCTCCCAGTCCTTGCCGTACATACTATCTGGAGGAGAGCATGCTATAGGGTAGGCGAAATCTGAATAACCTGCAGTCACCAGGCAATAAGTCGTCCCACAGCCAGTTATTTTTTAACTTATTTCTGATTTGGTTCTACTTCTGTAATGTGAGAAAATGGCCGGGTCTATCTTCCTGAGCAATAGTTTCGAGCTCATAAAGTTTGTCTTGTCTTTACAACTACAATATTGACGTTTCTCGAAGCCAAACAAGTTACACGACACTTTAAAGCACCACAGTCCAACCGATTCTGCGCCGACCATTACCAGATCCAAGCTCAAAATAATAGGGTTTCTAATACTAAAACTAACACAAACTGGAGGGAAACGATCTCATAGCATGACCTGTCGTTGGTACTAATGTAACCAACAAAGAGAATACCCCGCCAAACGCATATTCTTATTGGGCACGGGAACGAAATCGTCCACTTGAATCCAATATGTGGGGGTAAGATGGGATTGCGAGATGCCATGGCTTGGAGAACAATATCAGCCGGAATTCTCATTGTTAATGCATTGAAAATAAGGCAGCGGGATATAACATAAATATTGGCTTATCAACTGAGTTATGAGAGCCCGTTCTCGTCTCACACGCCCTCGACCTCGCGTTTTATTTCCACGCAGCAATAGCAACAACAGCAATACTGTCACCAGCAATATCAGACCCAACACAAGAATGGCTTCAGCTGCAACAGCGCCACAGCCCGATGCTGAACTCTCTATACCGCCTCTCTTCACTACTGAACCTCTCATCCGCGATAGCCTACCTACAGAGTCATCGCGTGTCCAGGATGCAACGATAGACGAAGTCCTGCCTTTTCTTCAAGGCGAAGAATTCGACTACTGCAACTCCCACGGCCTGCCCCATCTGGACCGTCGCCTCCATGTAAAGTTTTTGCATAAGCAACTGGGAAAGCTGCCCGCGGCTTTCACCGCCGCTGACCCTAGTCGGCCCTGGTTCTTCTACTGGTGTCTTTCTGCTCTTGTCCTCCTAGGAGAGGATGTCACGGAGTACCGCCAGAGACTTGTCGATACCGTTCGACCTATGCAGAACCAAGATGGAGGCTTCGCTGGCGGATTCGGACATACCTCGCATCTCGCCACGTCCTATGCAACCGTTCTGTCGCTGGCCCTGGTCGGCGGTGAAGACGCCTACGAGGTTATCGACCGTCGAGCAATGTGGAGATGGCTATGCTCACTCAAGCAGCCCGATGGGGGGTTCCAGATGGCACTCGGCGGTGAAGAGGACGTCAGGTATGTGCATGCCGTACCACTACACCATAATACTCTTCTCTGCAACGCCGGCGATCAAGGCCCGCAGTTCCCCATCGGTCTCATGCCGTGAACCCCAAGGACGCATCTACGATCACTTCCTTCTAACAAAGTTTCAGGGGGGCCTACTGCGCGGCCGTCATCATATCGTTACTCAATCTACCTCTTGAGCTATCACAGGACTCTCCTGCACGATCTGCTGGCCACACTGGTCTATTCACTGGGCTTGCAGACTATGTACACCGATGTAAGTGACGCACGAAATCCCAAAGCAATGCTTCCGTCACTGATCGTCCACCGGAAAGGCCAAACGCACGAGGGAGGCGTGTCGGCAAAGCCGGGCATCGAAGCACACGGTGCATATGCCTTTTGCGCTCTCGGATGCCTCTCGATTCTTGATTCTCCACATCGTTCCATCCCGAGGTATGCTTCTCCCTTTGTTTAACCACTCATGTTGTGACATGGAAGCGGTGCAGCGCATGCTAACCTTGTCTTGATATTTCTGTCTCTGTAGGCATCTCAATGTTCCACTGCTTATCTCTTGGCTGTCCTCGCGACAGTACGCCCCCGAGGGTGGTTTCTCAGGTCGTACCAATAAGCTAGTCGACGGTTGCTACAGTCACTGGGTCGGAGGATGCTGGCCCCTCATCGAGGCTGCACTCAACGGACCCGGGTCCGGCCCTGGAGGGGAAGAGGCCAGTTCAGGCGGCCACGCGCTCCCTGCGGCCAAGCATAGCCTTTTCAGCCGTGACGGCTTGATCCGCTATATCCTTTGTTGCTGTCAAGACCAGTCTAAGCGGGGTGGTCTGAGAGACAAACCGAGCAAGTATGCAACTTGGTGGCCCTGCATCTAGAATTTCTGAATGAGCGTTGACTTGAGTCCGATAACAGGTTCTCCGACGCCTATCATACATGCTATGTACTTTCTGGCTTGAGCGCAGCGCAACACAAGTGGAACTTGGATGTTGCTCGACCTCACGAGGCAGATGTGACAGGCGACTCGTGGTCCGTGACACCCTATATGGAGGGTGAACAGATCTTTGACGAGGAGGATCGGGTTGCTACTGTGCATCCTGTCTATGTTATTCCGCAGCACACAGTGGAGGATATGCAGAGTTACTTTTCGTCCAAGCATGGTTTCTAGATTAAGTAGCACTCGTGTAGCGCTGGATGGGGCTTGAAAGCCGTGAGAAAACATAGACCATGCAGCAGAGACATGTCACTTTTCGATGTACTTCATATGTTGGGAATCTTGTGAGGGCGTATACATGAAATACCGAGGCTCTATGCATTGCTTGCGGGGGTACACAGATCTACCGACTCTGCGGTGATCTATCTTAGACAGAGATACATATTTTGGTGGCCAAACTACGACATGAAACCTGCGTCGTCGAGGTTGGACAAACTGGGCTTATCCATCTTGGATCAGAGATACAGCACACAAATAAACATGCACCGCAGTGCATGCATGAATGAATCAGAGTCAGAATCAGTGGGTTCGCGGGGGACATTCAGCTTTACATACCGGCCGACTTTGATGGCGCCATGTCGTCGTCGACAGGCATGATAGAGTAACAGTGCAGCTAACATGCATTTCAATTGAATAACCAGCCCGGTCTGTATGTTTAGCTGAGTCATACACTTCTGGGACATTGAGTGCTTGAGCTTTGCTTCACTGTAACTTCATCCTGTAATCACAGAAAATCGTATTGAATTGAGACCTGCATGAGGAATTGAAGTAGCTTTCTATGAACTCACACAAAGAGATGTGTTCTGAAAGTAGAGAATAGAACTTGTTTTTAAGAGTTGAATTTCAAGAAAATCGTTACTATCAGTAAAGTCCTAAATAGCCTGCTTTTTTATCTCTCTCCATTGTGATGAGGTCAATAATGAACTGTGCCACTTTCTCTAATATGGCTTTCCACGAGCGACACTCCCTCTTGAAATCCACAACAAAATCTTTGAAAGACTCTACTACAGAATTCTTAAAGGATATGGTTCAAAACATAGCTTTGTGTACGCTAAACCGGCACAATTTACCGTGATTTCCAAGATGGCAGCATTTCACTGAAGGGAGCATGTTCGACCATCTTGTCCTCGATGATAGCAATCTCGCCACTTTCAGGCGGGCAGTAGTAAAACCTAAAGAAGATTTAGCTTGAGTTGTATCTGCCTGCACGTCGAGCTAGAACCCCATCGTTGCTCTGTCTGTCAAAAAGTTGAGGACCAAGCCATGACATGAAGGACTCATATGACCACTTACAGTCGAGTCTTGGCTAACAACTGTTGAAAAGAAACAAAAGGCCTTGAATTATACCGTCAACAAGCTATTGGTCATCCTGTCACCCGCCAATGGCATATCATGAGTTCCTGGCTTAATTCTACAACTAAGTGTCCACTCTCCAAGTGATTATCAAGCACTCTTATCAAGACCTGGGACTTGAAGCCGACTATTCATTCGTTACAGAGGGGTACATTGCTAATGAAGAAGAATAGTACAACACATGTGATGTCTACAAGATCGAAGCAGTGCGAACTGTCCACAATGAATGATCTGGACTCCAAGTACCAACCACAACCAAGAGTCGTTGGCCTCCGACTGATGGTGACGAGGAACGACTCAGGGAAACCGGGAATCCTGCATTACATTACAATTCATCCCAGATATCCCTTTGCATCACAGCGACCTTACAATCATAACTGAGCCAGTGTCACTGCACTCGGCATAGAATCGTCATCTGCCACCTGAAACAAAAACGACCAGTACTGGACTTCTAGATCTCATTATCAGATGTAATGCAAAATAAAATGGGTTCTCTCAACTCTGTCGGTCTAGTAATACAAGTGGCAACTCAGATTGACAGTAGACAGAAGCAGAAAACGCAGCATCTGGCTTCTTGAGAAGAGCTGACGACGTAATATTGCATCAAGTCAGAAATTGACACTGTGCACGATCCCTTCTCATTAAATGGGTTAAATAGAAGTGATTGTATCAGACTTCTAACCTTCATTCTGTATCGGAGTTAATTTGGAGATGACAAAACAGAGTCTTTCTACGCTCCAGACCATCCTACGGTGATGTCTCGGTTTAGACATGCTGCCTAAATTGAGAACAAGTCGATCTAGCCCACCTCGAACAATACGGGCGTTGATATAGTCGCCTCAGATAATCTGAGAGCATGTACATGATCAGACGGTTACAATCTCGTAAGTCGTGTCATCCTTCGAGACCAGAGTCCTCAGTATCGTCAATTCAAGAGGCCCAAGCACTTTGATCGACCGGCAAGGCATAACCGAGCTGGACCCTGCTCAAAGCCTCGAAGTGTACTACCGGTCATAAGTTGTCTTGCCGTATTACCTACTAATGGAAGGCCGTGAGGAAGACCCAGGGCCGTCCAGGTTGCATGGCGACTGTGGTCACAGAGAATGAAACTATACAGTTTGCCTGAACCATTTGTAATTTCTTGTCCTCACTTTTGATATGAATTCTTGCATCTAGCGGACAACAGGTGCACCCTTGTTCCGGGCCTTTTCGAGGACCAGGAAGATGAGTGTGAACTTCCACAAGACTTTGAAAGATACGACTATTCTATGTCCCTACTATGGAACTCCGACATCTTAGTTGGTGATATGGGCCTCGACAGACCAGGCGCTAACCACCATGAATCGCCGCAAGTTGCTCATGTATATCCGACCTCATAGAACCTCATGGCTTTATCGCTCTCTATCGCGGTTGGTCCATCAGCCTTAAGTCGACAGTTGTCACGTAGCTCAAAAACTCGAGAAGCGAGCATATGTATAATTACAATGGCGCACTGTATGTTAATGCCAGAGTCTGCTCTTTACCGACATCGTCCATCATCGCCAGCAATTCCTAAGTCGGTACTGCCCCTCACCCCGCCTCTAACCCATGCTCGCTGTCAGAAAACATGAGGCTGAGGTCGACAAAAAAGGGAGTCAATGATATACGTGGGGCATCCACAAGCGTAGCCACATGGGACCAGCAAGCCCTCAAAGTTTTTCTGACGTGGAGATCTCACGATCCAGTCATAGTAAGCATCCCACGTTTATTAGGGTTGCTACTGGAGTAACGAAGCCATGCTACCTGCCATGATGCGGTTTGGGAGGTAGTCTCTTGTCGTTGCTGCTCCCGACCGTATAGGCGCCGCTGCATGCATCATAACTGGCGATACGCTGGATGTGACAAAGCCGCAAAAATGCGTCAACAAGTCCTTTTCGTCGCTGGCGGTTATCAAAGTTTCGGATTCAACTCATTTTGAACCAGAAGTTTGGATCCAAACCCAAAACACTCAGAATCTCCATCCATCATGTTCTAGTTTAGTGGGCAGCATCTTGGGACGTGTCGACATGTCATGGGGTTACCTGAGACGGTTGGACGGGTCACGTCAGAGCTAACTAGCGGCACCCAAGATAGAATTCTGGAAGAGTTCGAATTGTCGAATCGTTGTTCGACGTTGGAAAGCTCCAAGCTCGCTCCGTCATGGCTCGCGTTTGCATGGGGGCTCCCTTGTCCCTCCACAAAGCCCACACAATCTTTCGAGGGACGAATTTTAGCAAGATCCCTGTCACGTCCTGCAGCTTGATATCAGTCCTGCAGATGCTTGGCAGGTCGTTTGTTTACCGTCGAATATGCTTTTGTCGTTAGCTCGGCCCTAGTAAGTAAAAGTAGCTAAGAAACTGAGCAATGCAGATGTTGTTGGACCAGATATCCGATACCTGACATTGTGAAACCGCTGATTCGCCGCATGTGATTGATAACTTCTTTCAAAATGGATGCCCTCGCGAAGTTGCTGGGATTTTGATATCGGCGCAGATGGAGTGAGAAAATGGCCACCCCATGGATACATCAGCAGGGTGAGCTGCCCGAAAGGTACAACGGTACTCTTTATCGACTAGCTTGTGCAGAGAGAATATGCCGCCATTGGAAGTTGCCTCGAGGTTCCAGTGCAGGACCTAAGTAATGTTGTTTTAATCAACAAAATAGCATTGCCAACACATCTTTGCATGAGGTTAGTAGGGGCTGACCCCAAACTTGTCTGCACCTGCCTTACCTTGCCTTAGTCGTTGCCTCAAACTCCTTTCCATTGGGGTTCGTCCTGCCATTCATTTCCATACGTTACCCCTCCTGGCGTAGCTAATAAGGCAAGTACGGTGTTCGGACGTTCCATGGGGTGGCTTTCCCCCTCTTCGACACATTTGCTCCCTTCTGCACAGGCCGCGCTCTTACCACAGAAGTCGTACTTACTACCTTAGGAGGTACCTACTTCCATGAATCGTACTAAGGGAATTGGCTTGTCTAAAGCACGAAGGGAAAAATTGTTCTCTTGTCATCCAGTTCTATGTATAGTTCCATACCTAAACATCAGCCAATCCCTCGTTGCGTCCATCTTTTTTACTGGACCTACAGCTTCCAGCCCCGTCTTTATCCCTAAGACATTCGAGCAGAGGCTGTTGCGCATCCTCCAACCAGTCTTGGCGCTTTCACCGTTCTTGTCATGTTCGAGCCACAGTAACAAGAGCTCATTTGCTTTTTGCTGCGTGCTGTGAACAGCCCTAACGGCGCTCACACCCACGCCTGTGGATGCATGGCGCAGGGCATGGTTGGCAGGGGTGGAAGGGCCTGAGGGAGCAGTGTCGTTGAATATCTGGGCCAGCCACTGACTGTACTGTTCATGCACGTCGTCGCGCTGCTTCACCGACCCTTTCTCCAGGCCCTAGGGAGTGGGATGCGGAAAGCATCGAAGTGGACGGTCCTCGCCTGCTTCGGGTGGTGTCACTGTTGAATTTGTGACTATACTTTTCTGTAGTCCTACTCTTTCCTTGCATTTGTCAAAGAATGACAGAACAGATAGCGGGAGTCGTATTCGAAAGTTTAGCGCTACTGTCACAGCTTTCATGATGCCATTCCGAACTGAAGATTGGAGACCCTTCTCACATTCGATGGCCAAGATTGCAAGCGCCCATTGCTAGATATAAAGACAAACCTTATAGGTCCCTTGAGTTGGACCATATGAGAAACTCGCACTCTCCCTGATGTACTTGTTCCGTGTGCGGATCGACTATGATCTTAACCGCCACATGAAGTTGAAGGAGAACGTGGCCCGCTCCCACTGAGTCGTTGTTGCTCGGCTCCAGTGCGACACTCTAACCATCACACTAGGCCGCACAACACGGCCGACCATTTCGCGCGCGACTGGCGAGGATTAGAATATGATCCTAGCATATGCCAATCCCGACCCTGATAATTTTCGCTTCGAATTATTAGGTGCAGTTAAAATGGACAGCTCGAATTGGTCCTGCAGCAACTCCGGCCACCGGGGCTCTCGGGGCTCAAGAGGAGGGGTTCAAGGTGGGTTGCCCCTCGCTGCAGCTCATCATCCTCCTTTGGACAGAAAGTACTACGTACTCATATACAGCACGGTACAGATACAATACTTGAAAGGTCTCACTGCTGTGCATTAGTGGCCGCCGAAACAGAGATCTCAGACGTCAAGATATGGATGGTGGTCAGAGCCAGGTACATGCTGTTAGATACTCTGGCAGAATTGCAGTATAAGCTGCTTCTGCGACGGCAGAGTGACTATTACCTATTTTGCCCCTCTTGGCCTGCCGGGCTTTTCGAACGTCCGGCCTGACAACAGAAACGAATTACCCGCCTTGGACCACTACGGTGATCTCCTCTTCGCCACTTGACTTGAAGCTAAAGCAAGTTGAAATTACTGCCATGTAGCAGTGCATCTTCAATCGCATGTCTGCATGAGCCCTTACTGGCTCCATCGCCCCCCATTCCAGACCATGCTCTCATACCCTCATGTACTCGGCCGGATACAAAGCCATAACCATGCTTATATTTGACCTGTAGATGGCCATCATGAAGGGAACTTGGGAAGCGATCACAACAATATAAAGTTTGAACGAGACCAAATAGGGTTGCCAAAGAAAAAGTGACACCATGAGAGAACAAAGGAAGATAAAACATTACCTGCGAGAAAGGATCCAGCTAGCTGCAGAGCAATGACTGAGACGGAAAATAGGAACCTACTAAGTTCGTTGGAGGTACGCCAGTGGCCGAAGGCGTTAACTTTGAGACTTATCAGAGAGATCGCCTGCTTGCTGCATCCTCCATGTGTCGCGGTGGAGTGGCCTAGTCGCCAGCGGTTTTGATCAACTGGCAACCAGGTAGGCCAGCACAGCAAGATGGGTCACACTCTTTCGAGAGCCGCATCGTTGCTTGCATCTACCTCCATTCGCGCGTCGTCCTTTGTCTCCAGACACCCCCGGTCCCACGCTAACAGGCTGTCTGGAATAAAGGCACACACGTCTCGCCGTTCCATCGGCTCAACTCGACTGTAGCAGATGGATGGATGTACATAACTTCAGTACCTAGTATTACTCAAGACGGATATCTCGACACAGCTAAGGTTATCCTTGGGTATTTTCCCACATTGCTCATCCTTTCAAATTTGTCTTTTCCTGTTTCAAAACCCTTTCAGCTCCTTCATTCTCTCCATCCCTCCCATTTACCTTGCACGCCAGCCGTTTGAGCTTCTTTTTACTCTGGGCACCACGAATCGAGCAAACTTGACAGGACCCTCCTCCACCCTCAACAGCCGCTCAAGACTTGCAAGGCCAGTTTCAGTTGCAATTCGGTTCCTGACATCCCTCACGACCTCCACATACTCTCTACCCGCTGCAACGCTCGATCCTGGAGTTCGTCCTCGGAGCTAAACCCTGTCTTCGGCATCAGTCGTCTATTTTGGATCTAGACAAGCGTTTATTTTGTTCGCGTTTCCTCCATTGATATCCTTTTGTCATAACAACATCCCCTCTCATGCTCTGCCTTCTCTCCACCGTCTTTGCCGCCTTATAATAAGCTCTTATATGCTTGGATTTCCGCCTTTTTTAACCTTCGTTCATAACTACAACTACAACCTTACACATCGTCAATCCACCACTCGTCACGTTTAGCGAGAGCCAGCAACAGCAACATCACAATGGGTGGCTTCTATATGCAATATCTTGAGAGTAAGTCAATGACAGTGAAGTCCGTCTTGTTTTCCAATGACAATTATGTCCATGGCACCAGCAACTGGTCAGGAACACAATTGGTTGAAGGCGCCAAAAAAAAAAAAAAAAAAAAGTTCCCGTGCAGGGTAGCCCGAAGCTCCCCGCATGTGGTGACAGATAACTATTGTTCTACCCTTGTTGCGTGACACAGGTTGAACAATAATTTGATGTCCGACATGATCGAGAGCACATGGAAAACCTTGAATTAAATGCCGGGTTTGGCATGTCGATCCCTATTGTTTGATTTGCGGACGGACGTCATGAACACCAGTTCGTTTGGATATGTTTTGGACTTTACCAGTTTTGAGACACGAACCCTTTTGCTGACAAGGTGCGAAACAGGCCTTTGCCGACGTCGAGGATGGACAGACCCCATGTACGAGTGCTACCGGGACCATAACGGCTACACTTGCCTTGTTCTTGTCAATGGCCGCGAATACCAGACGGACCTCGCATACGAATCTGATGTTCTAGCCCAAGAGAACGCAGCCATGCGTGCCTTCATGGTCTGTCGTAACTTTTCTGTCAATGGGGGTATGCTGGCTCGCAATGGTATCGTCCAAGGGCTTCCTGCACAGGAACCGTCTCGTCGCCGCAAGAGCCGCCACACGTCTTCTCGAGACAGCGACCGCCACAGTAGGCGATCAGGACACCATTCCAGCAGTAGCTCGACTGCATCATTCGACTAGAAAAGCACCAGGAGACAGCCATTGGCGGGTGATTGAGTCCAGCTTGACAATGCTTTGATGAGCTCAGATCAGCGTTGAGGCCAGCTCATATGGGAGCATGTCCGAGAAACACGAGGAGAAGGAATCACACACAAGACGACTTACAAGCGGTTGAAATGCTTCACAGCAATCCCAAGGATATACCCAAACCACCCTCCCTCCTTGGCAATCTCTCTCACGAGGCTCGAGAAAGAATTACTAGTTGCCCCCTTTTTCATTACTACTATCAAATTTCGGTTTTTTATTTATTTACCGTTTCACCCCATTGTTCTTCACTTTACACTGGGGAGCGGCGATATATATTATCTGCTGCCAACGAATCATGACGACACGACACGATTTAGATGCTATCTTACATTTCTACGGCCGGCATTTTCTTTTGCACTATCACCATTCGGTGTCCCTTTTCTCCGCGCGGGAGGATGTTACGACTCTTATAGCAATTTCAGCTTGCTCTGATTTCCTTTCTTTGACCTTTCCCAGCGGTCTGTTGGATGCCGTCACATGTTAGATGGGGTTTTACATGGCAATTGGTCTGAAAAAACATCACCATGCAACCAAGGAGCCACTCGACCGACCCATCATTCAGGTTGCTATCACATGCTCGAGAAACGATGACACAGCGAAGAACGGGAGATGAAGAGTTGAAAACGGTTGCATTTGGTTAAAAGTTGAATTGGATAGTGGCATCATTCAGGGGAGGTTCTCACTAACCGCACAAGGCTGGTCTTGACACGTTGGACGACAATTTGACGAACTATGACAAGGAGAAAAAGCACACTGTTTCGGGGGGTTCATTGAACCATTGACGATTAGCGAAGAGTGACATTTTACTCAGATCCTCAGATGGCGGATTCTGATGAGAAGAGATGTATTCTGCTTTGACGGACGGAAAAGCACAAGCACAAGCATGGTTGGAGCCAGCGTTGAATTTCACAATCACGATACGATATGAGAAAATGTGGAGGACTATGAGACTGGGATGAATTATGAGGATGACCATGGAATATGGACCAATTTGATGGCAATACGCTTATTAACGACGATAATGATCATGACTTTTTATTATTATTAACATTTCGAATGCCGGTAGATTCTTATGTCTCGCCCTGTGTTTCCTGATCTTGATGCATTCCTGATTGTTCATGTGATATTTGTACCACCTCTGCTTTGTTTTCAATCAATCTGATCCTTGATGATTGAACAGAGGGAGACGAGCAAATGCTTTTGGAAAAGAGCAATAGAAAATGTGGAGGTCATATATCGTTTCAGGCCATCCTGCCAATGATTTACAAGACGCGATTCTTGAGACCCTGACCTTCACGATTTCGTACTTGAATTAGTGGCCTCAAAGGTTCAAAGACAATGAAGTCAGAACCAGAACCACCAGCTAAGCTATGATCAGTCAAATGTAGCCATGGACTGCAGTGTCACACATAATAAGCTGGGGTGTTTGTTCCCAATGTAACCCAGATCGCTTGAAACTGTGCACCAATAGTTGTTTGAAGTTGGCGGATGAAGTCAGCTTAAACTCAATTTTAACAATATCCAAGCTTCAGAAACCCCCAATGTTTGCATATGCTACCACGTATCTAGGTTGAAAGCGGCAATCAATAGGAAACCAATAAGTCAGACCAACAGACGATTTTGCCGGGAATTTGGGTAACGCCAGCAACTGTCAGCTGTTAACGAGGTGGGAACACAACACCACCAACCCCAAACTCTATCGTTGGCTCTGTGAACTTTCAATGAGGATCGTCAGTGCAGCGTCAAGTTGTTACAGACTTCAACCTCTATTGTGACGTCGAACAAGCTATGACAGCTGTGAGACCATGGGGGTGAAGAATCAACCGAGGATTGCATAATGCATCAGATGCTTGATACATGCCGATCATGATTTGGTTGAACTGTATCCTAATGCACAGGTTTATTGGTGAGGGGAGGTTGACAGAGTTTGTAAGTTTATTACATATGAGGGTCACGAGGTGGTTATTGACAGCTCAATCAGAATAGAGAGGAGCAAAGGGAGGGGCTCACACTAAACTAAGCAGACGTGTCAGACGGAGATACGGGAGAGGCTGAGAGGTGGGAACGCCTTCGAAGATGAAGTCATATGGGGTGAGGTGGAACGTCTTTCTTTGTGTTACGGATAGATGTTTCTATTCACGACGTGACAAAGAGACTGAATATTATGTGCTATAGTCGGAAGGTCATCACAGTTGTAAGAGCCAATGTAGAAATCGCCATTAACACGAGGAACTCTCGTAAATGAGCTGCAGGGTCCTCGTCAGGGATTGTAAAAATGAACGTCAGCTTATGGGTGGTTGTGTGGCCACCTCCTGTCCTCCTTTAACTAAGTCAATGCCTTGAGGAAGAGAAGATGGTGCCACTGGCTCGGACCTCGATCAGCCAACAACATGATAAAGATGAGAAGTCCGTAAAGACTGGGAATAGAAGTCGGGGCCATCAATTGAGCCTTGAGTTGTTGGTATTGAGAATTCAGAGTGTGGCATAAGGTGGGATAGTAGATAGGGGGAGTCCAGACTAATATTGACAAATCCGACTGTGATCTCCAGACCTTCTCTGGCAGAGGAATGGCACAGGTTTCAAAAGAATGATTTGTTCTCATATTCAATAGAAACCATGTCGGATATTAATCAGTTCTAGAATAACAATAACGCTGAACAGGGGGTTTAATAAAATTTCGCCAGGGAACAGACAAGGTGTCGAGCCACAATGACCCGCAAGACTTGTTTGATTGGAGTGAGAAGAGCACGCAGCCCCCTTTCTATTAGAGGACCTCGTGTCGCGGATCGTTTGTCTGTGTGGCCCGGATGGGAGATGGTAATAGTCTGAGAGGCGTAGACTAACTAGTTATGGGATATGAAGGAGTTGAGTGTCCAGATGCATTCCTTGTGATATTCTGGCCTGGAGATGAAGGGATCGGGAACAATGGCGGCAATAGCATTGTGGAATTACTACAGAAACATAATCTGAGGTCAACAATGGTGTAAATGAGATACAAACATCGGACTTCCTCTCGCTACTGGCTGATTAGATAACTCCAATACCGTGAAACAAATGACTGAGTTGCGTTTCTACAGAGATCTTGATCGTAGCTGGAAGTCAAATCTCGAAGCCGCTGAAAACTAACCTGATTTAAGACCCTGGACTATGGCACTGGCAGCCCGTGTCGTCCCCTGTAATCTGGGTCCAGCTCTCCACTCTCTCAGCCTGCTTAGGTCGTCTGGCTGGCTGCATCTACCCACGTTGGCCTTTTTAGAACATCCCCACTTCCCTCTGCTTGTGCTCTCTCTCCTGAGTTCAAAGTTGAGCTTCTTCTTCTCTTCTCCTCCTGGTCTTCCCCTTCCTCTCTGACTTTCACTTTGACTCTGATCCAGATACTCAATCTCTCGAGATACCCGATACCCTTTAAACATTTTATTCTTCCTTAATCTAATCCTGTCGAGGTTGCTTCCTTCTTTTCAGGACCTCGCTGCTGTCGCTCTCTGTTCTTTTCTTTCTCTGTCGCTGTTGACTCCCGTTGCTCCAACGCATTCACCCACGTAACAGCTTCTCAATACCGCAATCATGAAGGGTATGCTTCATCTGGCCACTCTCAGCTTCTCCAGCAGCTAAAAATGCTTAGGACTTATTCTTGTCGGCGGCTTTGGCACTCGCCTTCGTCCTCTCGTACGTTACCCCTCAGCCGCGCGAAACTCCTGTACACCCCTCCAATATTTGTTTTGTGTGTAACTGACAAGCTGTGGCGCATTACAGACCCTCACTCTCCCCAAGCCTCTTGTCGAGTTCGCCAACAAGCCCATGATTGTACACCAGATTGAGGCGCTGGTCGCAGCGGGTGTTACTGATATCGTCCTTGCTGTCAACTACAGACCTGAGATCATGGAGAAGTTCTTGGCTGAGGTAAGAACATGGAGCTTTTATATCCTCCTCAAGACCATATAACTGACACTTTCCGTAGTACGAGGAAAAGTACAACATCAACATCGAATTCTCCGTCGAGACTGAGCCCCTCGATACTGCTGGACCCCTGAAGCTTGCTGAGAGTATTCTCGCTAAGGACGACTCTCCCTTCTTCGTCCTCAACTCCGATGTCATTTGCGACTACCCCTTCCAGGACCTCCTGGCTTTCCACAAGAACCACGGCAATGAGGGTACCATTGTCGTCACCAAGGTTGAGGAACCCTCCAAGTATGGTGTTGTTGTCCACCAGCCTGGTCACCGCTCTTTGATCGACCGATTTGTCGAGAAGCCCGTCGAGTTCGTCGGCAACCGTATCAATGCCGGCATGTACATCTTCAACACCTCCATCCTCGACCGTATCGAGCTCCGCCCGACTTCTATCGAGAAGGAGACCTTCCCCGCTATGGTCAAGGACAACCAGCTTCATTCTTTCGACCTTGAGGGCTTCTGGATGGACGTTGGACAGCCCAAGGACTTCCTCAGTGGTACATGCCTGTACCTCTCCTCCCTTACTAAGAAGGGCAGCAAGGAGCTCACTCCTCCCACTGAGCCCTACGTTCACGGCGGAAATGTCATGATCCACCCTTCTGCCAAGATTGGCAAGAACTGCAGGATCGGACCCAATGTCACAATCGGGCCTGATGTTGTTATCGGTGACGGTGTCCGCCTACAACGATGTGTGTTGCTCCGTGGCTCCAAGGTCAAGGACCACGCCTGGGTGAAGTCCACCATTGTCGGCTGGAACAGCACTGTTGGCCGATGGGCTCGCCTCGAGAACGTGACAGTTCTCGGTGACGATGTCACAATTGGTGATGAGATCTACGTCAACGGTGGCAGCGTCCTCCCCCACAAATCTATCAAGGCTAACGTCGATATTCCTGCCATTATCATGTAAGGAGCGATCTAACAAACCATCGCCTTATTCGAAGCTTGCTGGAGGACACACCAACGAGACTTCTCATCTATGCTCTAATCTCAAACGACAACGACGAAGAAGAATTCAGGAAGCAAAATTCACCACTCTGGGGAGATGTGCTGGCCATCATTCTATACCATGGAGGCGGGGCGGGAAGAAATCAAGAGCCTGCCGCTCTCTCTATCTTAATACTTTTGTGCAATTGTCTAATGCCCCTTTATGCGTGTTTATCTGGCGTC